CCCCCCCCCCGCTGCCCCGGCAGCCCTCCCTGCCCAGCCGGGCCCTGCTCTGCCTCCTGCCCCGGCTTACTCATAAGCAGGGCCTGGTAATGTCTCTTATTCACCCTGATAAAATCTAACCTGAGACTGCTTCCTGAATCTTGCAAGTTTTCCCTGGGCCACTTTAGCTGACGATAGCTGAATCTTTTCTGTTGCCTCACATTGGTGACTAATACCTTAAAAACTGTTTTATTTTGAGACCCTTGAAAAAGGATGTTTCTAATGTGTAACTCGCTCTCATGAATTCAAGGGAAGAGTGCAATAGCTTTTCAAAGAGTACTTACATTTTCTGCATTTTGTATATTTCATGGTGTATTAAGTGTTGCGATATCAGTATAACATGTACATTTGTGGTGAGGCATAGGTTGGGTTTAGTGTTTGTAAAATTCTGCATAGATGTTGGGTGACAAAAAGTTTTTATCATGTGACAGTGAGGCTTCTTAAGTCTCCCAGTTCATTTTAAGCCCTAGAATATAGTTAGGACTGTGTCCAGGGTAGCTGTATGCAAGCAGTGTTAGCCAAAACTGTAGGAGTGCACTGTGCATGTGGCTGTGCTTTTGTGCTGTTTTACTGTGTGTTTATCTGTCAGGATGTGTTTCTGAAGTCTACTGTTCTTTGGGTGGTCACAAGAATTCTTGTCTGCAGAAGAATCATTCAGTGGTTTCTAGTTTGCTTAAAAGATTGTACAAAAATGATATCTATATTAGTGGAGGCTTAAATTGGCACACTGATTCCCATTGTTACTGTCTCCCATTACTGGGAAGGAAAACTTTATATAAAGTTCCAAATTGTTGATTTTCTTACTTGTAGTTTGACTTCTAGTTGTGGAATGTGTGTTTTTTCTTGGTCTATGCAGTGTTATCTATAGCTCTTTCACTTGTCTCCAGTTTTCCTGTTTTGGATTTTCTTTAAGCACTTGAACTTAGTAATGTGTTTGTGATGGCTAATCAGGTTTCTCACAGATGTGGACAGAGCCAGGGGGAAATGTAGTTGCATAAGCAGCACTGCTGGAGACCTGACTCTTGCAGAAAGTGCATTTAGATGTTGTGTATTTGTCATAGTTCATATAAAGGGGCAGCACATCCCATGACAGTGCAGGTGTTGGCCTGAGGGAGTGGGTCACTAGAACATGGTGCTGGAGTAGCAGCAGGTAGTGTTAATAAATTATCTAGAATAACTGTAGTATTTTTTTACAAATGGCATTGCTCTCCCTGACAGCATCTGTACTATGAGAACTTGGGCTGTTTATTTTTGGTTAAATCATTTGATTACTTGTGCTACAGGCAAAACAAGCCCTATTTTTCTGCAGTGATGTTATTAACAGATAGAGTATGTGTGGTGGTGATCATGGAAGCTAGAGTTGAAGTAGGAAGCTGCTTTTAGTCAGGTGTAATGTAATACTTCAAAAAGCAGCATCTGAAACAAATCCTTCCTTAAAACAGATCTTTAAGAAGTGCTGAAGAACCTCAGTTACTCAGAACTACCATCTTCAAATTTTAAATTAACTCCCAAGTGGGTAGAAATCTGTTGAGAACACAGGGAGAGCCACCAGGCATGTTGGAGTCTCTTAATGTGAATTTGCCTTCCTTAGTGATGAACATGGCTCCCTAAAAATCTTGTGTTTCTCACATACTCAGTAATGTTTGTGTTTTGGAGATCTCTGTCAAAACACTGGAGAAGTACTTGGTGTGGTAAACTGAACAACATAAACTGCCTCTTGCCCTGTCAGCTGGTTTCTAATGTTTGGAATTTTGAGCCATCAAAATTCTTTTAACTAGAGCTGCATAAAGAGAATGCCATGATGTCTTGAATGTCAGCACTTTTTCTGAAAATAGATTAGAAGTTTAATATCACACCACACTGTGAAGGTCTTGGATCACGAGTTTCTGATTGGTGCTGGTGATAGAGGTCTGACTTAAAGATGATCTTCTGGATTGCACTGAAGAAGTGAAGGCATGGCTTGTAATGTAGGACTTAGAACTTAAGGCCACTGTAGAAAGTTTTAGGCATATATTAGAATAAGACTTGTGAGGCTACAATTTACCTTATTTTTATTAAAAAAAAAAGCTGAAAGGTAATGTTAGTTTTGACTTAGCAATTTCAGAATGTAGGCAACTTGACTGCTTGTGTTTTGCCAGCTTAACTTTGTAAACAAAGTAGTTGTAGCTTTTACCCTGGGAAAGATTAGATTTTTATGGCTATGATGCTTGAAATTTGACTAGGCTACATCTGCACTCAGTGTGTTTGACATTATTAACTAGTTTGTAGTTAGTCCTTTGTAAAGCATTTTTGTATCCGAGGAAAACAAGTTCTTGACCTAAAGCTGAGCTCCTCACCTCTCAGAAGGACTTTCTCATGGTATTTCAGGAAGTGATTAAAGGAATATTGTCAGTTTCCAAATTAGCCCCAAAGCTTTTACTAGTGAGTGCATTGGATGGTGCCTTAGTTGCTGTGGAGTATAAAATGGCTGGAGGAATAATCTGTCATGTTGCCGTTGCTTTTGTAGGAATTAGCATTTGTAAATCTTCTACCTTTTGATTACAAAGCAGCACAAGTAAAACACTCTTTGCATAAAAGTAACATGTTAAGTGTACACTATATATTCCTGGATAGCTTGTACTCTAAAACCCCCAACATTTAGCTATGATCAATTTGAGATGTTTCTTTTTTTTGGTAGGTGGTGTTATAAGTGCTGCTCTTTGATAGTGTAGATTTTAGTGCTGTGTTTTGCGGACCATGTAGTGGTGCCTTAGAATATAAGTGTAAGAATAGTATTTAATGGTGATTATTTTTGGGTTTTTTTTGAGTGCAAGAAAACTAGATTACATGTATATGTCACAGTTTACCTGTAAACCAATATCTTGAGCAGCTGTTCTTAAATAAATCTCTTAACATTGTTCTGGGCAAATGGCTCTTATGTTGGACTTCATTAGTAAAGCAAGAATATAAAAAGCTGTTTTAATCATCTCTGCCAGATTTAAAAAAAAATCTATGAAAATCAAGTAAATAAAATTGATGTGGATATGTTGTCTTTTAATAGAGCAAGAGCTAACATGGCAGTAATTTTCATAAAACTGAAATAGCTGTTGCCAAAGCTGTGATAGTAAAACTGACAAACAAGATGAGCATAATTGTATAAAAATATGGTTTGTCCCACCTGTTGCTGTTCTGAAACTGTTCTGTTACTCAAACTGCTGAAATTTGAAAGCAATGTAATACAAGACCTTTAAGAGTTTCTTAGGGGCACAGTTATAACTGGTGTGCACAGGTGACCAACTATATCCATGGAAAATGAAATTGCTTTTTGTAATAGGTGTAATTGCAAATAGTATGTGTTTACAGCTTTTGTATACCAAATTTGCAATGGGATCTTAAATGGGGAAGGAAATTTTTAAAAACTTTCTTTGTAAATGGTGTGTTGCCTAATTGAAAGGCATTAGGGACACTTGTGTTCAAACAAGTTTCAAAACTAAGGTTTCCTGCAATCGAAATTCAGATGAAACTAGAGGGACTAAAGAAATTTGACTCTTCTGAAAATTCCTTACCTATCAGAATCAAGAAAAGCAGTTACTCTTTTTGCTTTTGTGGGTTTTCTGAACTGTACTGATGCTCTGTAAGAGTGTTTTATTTAAGTACCTTCCTCCGACTGACAAGCTCAGTGTTTTTAATGTTAATACAATATGGTTTTGTAACAGTGCTATAGTGTTGACCTGAAGTATATAAGTGTTATTTAGGTGGTGCTTGAGTTGCTATTTACTTTTTGACTTGTAAAGGGGAAGGAACTTTTTAGCTAATATTCTCTTTAGGTTTACTAGGACTTATCTTCAGTGCTATCTAATCTGTTACAACTAACTTGATACTGCATTACAGTAACCTGTAGAAGATATTCTTCTTTCCCATGGTTGACTAGAAGCTGTATCAGTGGTGTGCTGTGCTGTATGTTGCTCTATTTGTAACACTACTAAGGAAATTTTTTTGTCTTCTTGCAGAAAGTGTGGATGCCCATCAGCGAAGCTTTGATGTAGGAATTCAAATTGGCTATCAGCGTCGGAATAAGGATGTGTTAGCTTGGGTTAAAAAACGCAGAAGAACTATTCGTAGAGAAGACTTGATCAGCTTCCTATGTGGAAAAGTTCCTCCTCCAAGGAATTCTAGAGCTCCCCCAAGACTGACTGTAGTATCCCCTAGCCGAGCTACTTCAACAGAAACTAACTCATCTGTAGAGACTGATTTGCAACCCTTCCGTGAAGCCATAGCTCTGCATGGTAACTGTAATTTTTTCAATACTACTTGGTTAAAATTGGGTGGGGGTTCTTAAAGCATGTCTGGCTCTTGGCAGTTGTTGGTGTCATAATGTCATGTACCTGATGTTCCAGCTGAAGGCATCTCCTTCATTCTCTAAGGAAGTTCTTGCAGCTACTAAAAAGCTGCGTAGTCAAATATTTTGAATCAGAAAAACATACTGTATTAAGAGCTTTATCTGTAATATTCTGCAGCTGTGAATGTAACTTAAGTGTCAACTTCTGGTAGGGTTTTTTGAAGCATGAAGAGACTTGGCATTCATACCAATCAGTGTTAAAAGTAAACAATTCTTGGAAAATGGTAATTACTATGCTAGCAACTAGTTAAATATTGAGATTTGACTAGTAGCAAATAACTAGCAAATTTTTGCAGGGTTAGGGAGAGAATTCATCTGAAGTCTGTCTGGGGCACCTTACCTCACTCTAGTACCCTTGTTATGCAGCGGATAATAAGGTTTAGTGTTTTACGTAAAGTGTCCTGGAAATGGTACTTTGCTTGCATATCACTGCAATAATTGAGTCCTGTTCAGAACTTCTAGTTCAGTTTAAGTCTTAAAAGTCTTCCAAGTGTCGTACTGAATTGCATTCCTTGCCCACACCAACAATGTTGACGGTGTCTCTTTTCTCCTTTTGAGATATGAATATTCAGTGGCTTGTTCTGCATTGGGCTGTTACCTAGCAAGTGATAAAGAAAAATGTGTTTTAAATGAGGTGAAATGAAGCAGTTTACTTGGGGCTTTAATGCCTTATAAAATTCTAAAGTGTAGCAAATATCTTGAGGTATAAACAGTAGACCATTCCAAAAGTAAAAAAATCAAGCTGTCTAGAAGTACAACCTGTGAAACTTAGAAAATTTTTACTGCCTCAGTATTCTCAGTGGGGGTTGGAATTAATGAGTTAATTAGATGACTGGGTTCCTGAAAAAGCAGTGTTTGCTTCTGCTATGCTGTGGTGTTTTTTTTCAAGATACATAAGCCAGATGCTGTTACTGTCTAGGTGACAGCCTAATTCTGGTATTGTTTGCTGCTCTGTTGCCATTTAAATCAAGCATGCTTCCACCCAGTCACGTAGTTTTTGGCAGTTTTCCTTCTCATTGGAAGCTGGCTAGAGATTTCTGTGCACCAGTATTGCTTATTCAGTAGGTGAAGCTAACTTCATGAGGAGAACTGCAGAAGCTGGCTCTCACCTGATAATGATGTGATAAATATTCTCTTAAATCTTGTTTTCTGAAACTAGTTGAATCCTGTGTGCAGTTGGCTTTAACTATAAAGGCTTCCCCTCTGGTGAGAGTAAACTGGGTAGACTCCCTTCAGCACGGTGAACTCAAGCGGAGTAAAATCGAAGGCATTTTTGTTGGTAACATGACTACTGTCATGTCCTTGTATTGTTTCTTAGCATCCGCTTTGTATAGAGGTGGTTTATGGGAGTCACTTCTCCATAGCATGGGAATCTGAACCATGAAGTAGAAAGTTTTTTTGTATTTCATAACTTAAATAGTTAGGAGGACTGTAGTAAGTTCCCTGCTCTGTACAGACACTGACGGGACTAGAAATGCACTCCTTCTCTTCATCAGCTGGCTGACAAGATTACATGTCAGTCACCTTCGGGATTAGGTTCTCCTGATATCGGTTTCAATCTGGTCTCTGACACAAATGCTTTTGTGCTAATCCTTTAGTGACTAGGCTTGTATTTGGCCTCATAACTGTTTTTAGGTTATTGCCTACAATGTCTGTATTCCTTCAGCTTCTCCCCTCATCTTTAACTTTATGGAAGTTATGATTAAACCATCTCCCAAACTACTTTCCTATTTACCATGGGGCTTCTCAGAACTTTGATTTTGAACACTGTAGGATCTTCAGGTGTGTGTAATTTAATGTCCTTTGTATGGCTAATTATTTTCATTTTTGGCAGGCTGTTTAAAAGTGATTTGCTCCTTCTAGGTATCATGAAGAAACTTAAAAAAACCTGATGATAGTGAGTAGCGGTCTCAGCAAGTGCTGAGAACTACAGCTTTAAGGGGAATTTTTGCATGTAAAGGAGTGAGGCTTTGTTTTGTGCTGGTAGGCTTCCTGTGGAAATGGAGCAATTGTCTATTGGTGACATGGATGGGCTGAATTAGATTTGATGGGTATTGCTTAGAGCAACGAGTTTTAGCAAGGTCTCTTTTTGTGAAGCAGGGATAGGTACGAATCTGTCCTATTATGACACCAAATAAAGTTCTGTTGCAGTTGAGCTGATTTATTGACTTCTCAGAAATAGCTACTCATATGTCTAAAGACCATGGTCCTGTAACTTGTTGATGTTGCTCTTTGATGGGGGAAATAACCTGTATTTTGATCACATGCCCTTTAAGTGCTTCGTGATCAGATCTGAAAACATTGACAGAAGCTGTGGTAACAGTAGTAGCTAATAACAAAATATTTCCTGGAACATCAAACAAGGTGTGTGCCCTAGACTAAAACATTACTGATACCTAAAGACACTCTTCTCTACAATCTTAAAACTATATGCTGCATCTCAAGAGAAATCTGTTAAAATCTGGATTTTTAACCTTGCCTCTTCTATTTCAAACCTTGGTATATCTGACCTATGTTATAGCTCTGCAAGGTAGTTAACAGTTTTCTTGGCAAAAGCTAGGGATTTTGAACCCAAAATTTATTCTTGCGATATTAGTTATCGGTAAGTAGTCTCTGTGCTGTAAGGAAACTTGTCTTGAAAGCAGAGCAGTAGAGAAAAACTTGTTGCAGTAGCTAAAAGCAAAATGACTGACAAAAAACCCCAACCAACTATACTGACACAAGAATGTTTAAGGTGTATGTGATCTACCCTTTTTTAACTCTGACATAAACACTGTGGAGCTATTACTGAAGTCTTTAGTGTAACTTAAGGGTACTTGAGAATGAGTTTTTAAAACTAAATAACCTTTTGAGAGAGTTAAACTCTGGTAAATAAAAAAAAAATCTTTGCCCTTAGTATCAGCTCTTCATTATTAATGTGCTGATGGGCAATTTTTGAAGTTGAACATGGCTGGAAACTTGAACTGTGAATACCTGAAAAGAAACTAAAGCCTTCAAGAAAAGCTGGTTAGTTAGCTCAAGGTTAATGTATGCTATTTTACTCTGAAATTCAAGTGGATTTTTCTGAAACTTCAAGAACTGTGCATCTGACAAAGCTTAGTGTTTTCAGATGTGATAGAAGATAAATACCTTTATTGTTCAACATTTCAAATATAGAGTTGGATTTTTAACTTCCACCAGACTCTAAAATGACATTGCATTTAGCATAGGTATGGATGTATCTTCATCTTTCTGGATGCCTATTGCCATATCCAGTTCTCTAAGAGAAGAGTTTCAGATGACAGAATTACATTAAACTGGGCTAATAGTTATAAAGTTCCCAAAAGCTGACAAGTTCCAGGTCACTTTCTGCTTCCTTGTAGCTATCATACTAGGTCTTGCAGTGCTCGTGGCTGTGCCCGGTCCATATTTGAAATGATGCTTTTAATGTGGGATGTGCTCCTTGCTTTACAAACCATTCTGCTAACATAAGAGGAGAAAATATTGTCATTTGAGGCGGGTGAAGAAGCAAGCATGGGAAGGCAATGCTAAAACGCATTAGAGTTGAGCACTTTTAACTAAAAGTGATGTGAATGGGGAACACTGCAGTGGGGGAGTGTTAGTGATATACATCAACATTAAAACTAAGGAGCAAAAGAACTGTAGAAATGTGTGGCTTGGACCCCTTGAAGAGCCTGAATTTCCATTAGGCCTTCTTATTTTCATCTCAGAATATTAAACTGTAATATACAATGTCAGCACTTGTTAGCAGAGTGAAGAAGCAGCAATTAGTAGAAGAGGAGATGGGAGAGCAGAGTTCAGGTTAGTTTGAAAGAGTTTAGCTTGAAGGTTGTGTATATATAGCTATCATAGAATTGTCTTTTGGTATGTACTGCTAAAATTTGCTCTTTGAGCAGTACTGTGAAAGGGTGAGTATGACACAGAGGAGTGACAAGGATCTAACTGCATGCCATTTTGTATTTATCTGGGGTTATTAACTAATTCCTGCTTTAGTCACACTTATTTAAGCATGAATGTTCTTTTTGATACTTCCTGATTAAAACTTCTGGAAAACAATAGTTAATGCTATTACTATACTGAACAGTAGTTACCCAGTATAATATGCTGTGGTAGTGACCTGAATAACTCATATTCATTATGGATGTGGTTATATTGCAGATAAAACAGCGTTTTCAGTTTGTTAGGCCAGTATTGATAAACTAATTTTGAGTTGATAGTTTTAAATATTTCATACTCCATAAACCAGACTTCTAGCCAAGCATTCTAATCACTTGGTATTTTGGTGAATACTTAATAATAAATTAGCTAGCATTGGTCACAATTTCTTCTATACTGCAGCTTTTCCTGATAGTACTATAATAAATGCTTTAGAATATAGCTTCAGTTAAAAGCAGTTTTTTGTGAAATTACTGGCTGTGAACCACTGTATTGTGTATGACTTGACTGAAAGATATGTCGCTACTGAGAATGTAGTAAGTACTGCAAGATATTTCAGATATGCTCTCCACTTCAATCCTTTCAAGTTTAAAAAGGGGGAAAGAGCCATATGTTCTTAAAGGTCTCCTGTAAAAAAGGAAATTTCTCTTGTAGAAAGCAGTGGGAATCTTCGGGGGGGTCATCATGAGATCATGAAAGAAGTAGAGACAATTTAGTAGCAGTTTGAATCTTTATCCTGTCGTTTGGTCAAAACCAATGTGCCTGTGATTAGGTCACGGTAGTCACAATGTAGAAATGTGAGGCTGTGAAATGGTGTTGCTAGCAGTCATGTTGTCTTACTACTTCCCAGTATCTATTATTGCTTGCTGTACTACTTTGAATGGTTAAATGCTTTGGGGAGAGGTCTGAGTCCACTGAAAACTTAAACTCAGAATAATACACAGTAAATGGGTTTTCTGATATTTCCTCTTTGCATTATAACAACTTTCCAAGAAACAAATGAGCTGTGGATCACAGCTCCTGAAAGATGCTTTCTCTGTCAACAACAACAACAAAAAAAATAGATCTTTTCAATTGCATTGCTGATTGTCTTCAAAGACACTGCTTCCATGAAATGGCAACTTGATATTTCAGTGTGTGCCTTGAATTTTCATTCTGCTTCTCCCATGTTAGCTTGACTACCTAGTCCTAAACAGCGATCTAAATGTTTCGTTTGACAGTTCTGCTCTCTTGGATTGATGTATAGTGCTATGTAATATGGTTAACTGCCAGTAACTGATACCAAATAGTCACTCAGTCTGTTAGCATACTCAGTAGTGTCTGTTACTCGCTGTTTCAGTATTAAATACCTTTGAGATGCAAGATTAAACTGCAACTAGAAGTCCATGTTGTGCTGCAAAATCCTTGTACTCCTATCTTTGTGGATATTAATTCAAAACTACTCTCTTCCCTCTGAGGTCAGGTTTGATTGAAGATTTTAATTCTCTTGAAGGTGGTTTGTGTATTTAAAGGTACAGTGATTCAGGATTACCTAAATATTGGAAAGTCAATGCCTGCTTGAGGCATTGCTTGCAAACCTTGGCAGTCTGTTTTAGAATACAGATGCATCCTTTCTGACTTTTGTATCTACTGTTTTAAAAAGCGCTTGTTGCTTGAAAAGGTGCTATTTCAAAACAAAGTTCTGGAGTGGTGCAAAAAATATGTATCCTCACATTACAGGTCAGCTTTGGGGTTTATACAATTTTTTCTCTCCTCACTTGGGCACTGGACATAATGGTGTCATGATAAAACTGAATTAGTATTTTGGTCATTTGAGTTGTATAATTTAAGAATGTATGACTGAAGTAGTGTAAATTGTTGGCTCAGTGGAAGTAACAACACTGAACTTCTGTGTTCAGAGCAGTTTTGCGTGGCATAGTTATGTGGGGGGGAATCTCTGCAATCAATTTGGATTTGAAGCAATGTTGCCTTCTGTGCACTGTCTGATTTTTTCAGATCTAAATGTACAGGATGAATTAATGTGATTTTTTTCCTAATGTATGTCATGCCAATTGAAATTAAACTTGCTGCTATCTTTGAATTGTGAAGTGATTTGTTACTTGCCCAAATTTTGCACCTTGGTGGTTTATCCAAGTTATGGTATTTGAATTGGCTTTTTGCTTGTACATCTGTGTCATCCAATGGGCTGCTTTACTTTTTTTGGTAGGTGTATAGGAGCCTCTTCATAATGTTTTGAGTTTAAGCTTGACCTTAATCCTGGGAGTACTGGAACAAACCTTGTTTCTGAATTACCTTTTCACTAAAACAGCTTCTGCTCTTTAAATACTTTCTGCCATTGTGAATGAAAGATGACTTTAATGTTAATAAAACCTGCAGGGTTCCTGTGGACTTCAGACCCTGCTTCTGAGTTGTGTTGGTATACCACTTTGAGCTGTAAGTAAAAGCTCTAAGAAAGCATCAAATGATCAGTGGCTGTGCATAGTGCTCAATCTGTAAAAGTGTATCCTGTGCTGGTAGAAGACCTAAGCTTTAAGTGCTCCTTCAATGGTAATGTGCAGTAGAGTGGAATTGGTTGGCCTCTTCTACCCTGACTTGTATATCAACCTGCCATTGCTGCAGATGGCTTTAGAGTTTATCTTCTACTGATCTAGTAGCTCTAGCAGTCTTCACAGAGCCTCTGAAGTTAGTGATTTGGCCTCTCAGCAGCTGATAGACAGGGTTTTGTTAGGCTTTATTTGCCAGCATGTGATCTCTGGCTGCATACTTGACCATATAGGAAGATGTGTATTAAATGGCCTTGTGCACACAAAGGTGTATGATGGCTGGATAAAGGTGTACAGTATTTGAGTGGAAGAAGCTTAAGATTTTGGAAGTTGAGACAGAAATCTTCCTGGACAGGTTAACATTTGCTGCTTCTTATTGCTAGAAGAATACACAGATGTAGATCTCTCCGCTGTTCTTCATTTTCCTGCCTGTATTTCTAAGGCCAAGAGATGTTTATACTTTCCTAATAATTCTCAGATTTTTAAGTAGTTGTGATAGCAAAGATGTTTTTCTTATCTCTGAGCTCCTGTTTATCTAGAATTACAGCCTGAATTCCAAATTGAGAAGAATTGCTAGTCTTTCATGTACTAGCCCTTGCTAAACTTATGTTCTGGAATGTCCTGCTTTTGCAAGGTTGTAATAGTAACATTTCTGAAAAGAGCTTACATTAGTATGAAGCTCATGATTCTCTTATGTTCTTGTTTCTACAAGAAAAACTTCTGTTTTAATGAAACATTTTATTAATAACCTGAACACAAAGTAATTGCGGGGTACCTATGACAGTGTTTTAGATCAGATCTATCAATAGCAAATTTTGGGGGGTGGTTATATGGTCTTGCTTGGCTTATTTGTTATTTTTAAGTGCTCTTGTGAATTCTGATAATACTAATGTGTTGACTAATAGCAGCAGCAATCAAATGAAGCTGTTATTTAAAAACTAGTTGTGGTATACAACTGCTGGAGATCTGCTGTCATACTGCAGTTTTCTTTAGAACTCCAGTGAGTGAGGGAGTGGAAGGGAGGCAGGGTGGTGGTGTTTGAAACAAGACCAAGGCAGGTCAACCTGGGAAGTCCTTAGTAGGGAATTTTCCTTCTCTGTAACTATTGGTCTAGTGCGAAGCCTTTATACTGAAATAGTCTGCTCTTGAGTATGTACACATATCTTCCATAGCATGTCATGCTTATGGAGATAACACTTGCTGTAGTGTGCTGTTACAGCCTGGTGTATAAACTCAACTTTTAATGTCATAAAAAGCAGTTCTACTAATTGCTATATTCTTGCATACAAAAGCTGGGAAGGTGTGGTCTGGACTTCTAACAAGTGTGGTACAAATGATAGGATGAAGTGCCTTTTGATGTCTCACCTGAAGTCATAAATGTCATCCCTCTGCCACACATGGGAAACTTACTTTCTTTACTGTTTGACCTAAATACTCTTTCTTTTTTTCCCCTAGGTCTTAGTGGTGCAATGGCTAGTATAAGTGTTCGCTCAAGTACCCCAGGCTCGCCCACTCACGTGAGCAGTGGCTCCAATGCTAGTCGAAGGAGAAATGGACTCCATGATGTTGATTTGAACACTTTCATATCAGAAGAAATGGCACTCCACTTGGACAATGGTGGAACTAGAAAGCGTACCTCAGCCCAGTGTGGCGATGTCATTACAGACTCACCAACTCATAAACGCAACAGAATGATCTAAACTGCAAAAATTTCAAACCCACCATGCTGCTTGAAAGCCACTTGATCCTCAGAGTACTATTGAAAAGGAAACGTGAGGCCATCTTTCCATATTCACTGTTTAAGACAAATTCAATAATTGCCATAAAGGAAATTTTAGATATTACATTAGATGCCTCTTGTAACTGCGGCTTTCTTAAACTATATTCTTAGCAGAGGACATCAGATATTGTGTAGTAGTTAGCAAGATCATCATAGGCAAACATGTATCCGTTCCAAGGCTAAAAGTGACCTTACTTGTATTCTTAAAGGGAAAGGAAATTTCAGATGTTTATTTGGTTATAGAATGCTTTTTTTTTGTCCTTTATTTCCTGCTGTGTTGAGTATTTGCTTAAACAGTATTGCCAGTTTGACTGAAATTGTCTACAACATGACTTGGCATCTTTGTCAAAACTGCAGGCTTCCATTTTTGCAGCACTGTACCATGCACCTAGTTTCTATATAGTAACAGTGTGCAAGTTATAAATATTGGACTGTACCCTTTTTAGTTTTAAAAGCAGTTGATAATTCTGGTGATTGTGTGATAATGTAAAGAGGTGCTATGATGGTCATGCAATTAATACTTAATATTGAATCAATACAAGGATCTTTATTGGATTCACTTTGTGTGTTTTAGTGCTCTGAAGTAGCAATATTAAACTTTTCCCCGATTAACTTCATAGGCTTTTAAATTGGTTTGAGAAAATATATGTACTTATTGGTATTATCCTTGTGGTAATCATACACAGTGCAGACTGCACCAGTGCTGACCTAAATTTAGAGAAAGATGTCCTGTAATTGGAAAATAGGCTTTTCTGTTCAGTATTAGTGAAGGGTAGGTTTTGTGTATGCCCATATCCCATTTTGCATTTCTTGTGAAGTAATTGCCCATTGCTGGGGAGGGGTGGGAGGAGAGGGAATGAGGGGGAATAGTTGGAAAAGGGGTGTGTTCTAACAAGTAAGACTTCTGGTCACATGTGGAAACTTGGACTAACTTAAACAAGAGATTCTGTGTGATGCGCCCTCCTTCAGGAGGGAGTGACATGCAGGTTCTATGAAGTGCTAAGAAAATAATTTAAAACTGGAAGTTGATTATAAAGCTCTGGATAAACATGCCGTAAGGATGAATTAAAAAGGATAAATGGCTTTCTTTTTGTGTTGAGCTTACATTCATAGGATTGAACTCTGGCTGCCATAACTTAAGCATAATCTAAAACTAAACTAGAGATCAAGACTGATCTGCTGCAAATCCATTTCTGAATGGGGAAGGATATGTGTCAGTCTCAAAGAGTGTCCTAACTATTTTTACACGTAGATGCAGCAAGTCTTTGGTGGAGAGCTCTGGCTTTTAGAGCCTCTAAATCTCTGCCTAGGAAAGGGATAATACAGGAGGAATAAGAAAATTAAGAGTTCCAAACCTGCAAGTTGGGAAGAGGTGTTTAGTGAGGTGGTATGCATGCTTTAACTGGAAGCGTAGGCTGATTCCTGGATGAAATGCAGCTATGCTGGAATCACAATAATTAAATTGTGATGTTCTTGCTAAGTTAAGGCACCTTGAGCTCCATGTTAATACACACAGCTCTTCAAGACTTTTGCTTACGTGCTTGTAGAGTCAGATCTGTTTTGTATTATCTTCCCTGTTCAAAGCAGACTTCACTGGAGTTTTGCTCCCTTTTACCCTGGTGTCCTCTCATTGGTGTTCTGTAGTCAAGGCAAGACAGCAGTGATGTGTGAAATTCTCAGATTTCAAGACTCGCTACTAAGCGTCATTTCCTTGCTTTGTGGTGCTTCCATCAAATTTCTTTAAGAGCTCTTGAAGATGTCAACAGTTGCACAGTACTGTAGCTAGAGGTTCTGTAGTTTATGGGACAAGCGTAAGAACTGTCCAAAGCAAGATGGTAAGAACTGTTCAAAACCCCCACCTGTGTTACATAGCTGAACTTGCACATCACCTGAAGACTCAGTATACGTTAATTTCAGTTACTGCTATTAACTACGATTCATAAGACTTATTTTATGTAAAATATTAATATTGCATAAAGCTAGTTTTCATTTGGAGACTGCATTTTCAACAAAGATTTTGAAGATGGTATCTAAATATATCTGTTAGTATTTATTAGGCTGTTGGCAGTGGGATTTTTCTGTTCTAAAGGAAAAATCTGGAGTCCTGAGCAGAAAGGACATGTGTGAGAACCATTCTTCAGCTCTTCTGTTTATTCATTAACTGGCTTGTAAGACTAAGATGCTTATGCTCTGCAACTTCTAACACACTTTACTATTACATGTGGTAAAGGTAACATCGTATTGGTATCAGTTCTGCATATACGGACTGAACTGTAACAGTGCTTCTGGTCTAGCCCAAATAAACGGAGCCTGTTCAAATTACTTCTCCCTTTCTTCGCAGTGAAATAAATCCTGTTAATGCTTTGAAGCATTAATTCAGTCTACTACCATCTAAAACTAAATTTGTCTGGCTTTTTATTTAATTTGTGCCATTTTTCTTTGAAAGAAAGCAGGCTTAGATATTAAACTGGTTGCATTACTGTTTTTTTGCTTGTACCTTAAATATTTGGCAACTTTTTGATTGTTTTTTGTTTAGCCCCAACTGTTGTTTGCTCTTTGTTAACCTCTGCCAGAATGATCAAAAATGCATGTATTCACCTGGTAAACACACGGAGAACAGGTTGTCTCTTAAAAAAAAAAAATAAAAGTCTGGTACCTGTTGCTTTGAAGACTTATTTCTTGTGCCAGTGTAGAAAATTGACGTTCTGGAAATAGCTTTCAGCTATTATCCGAACTGTAGCTCCTGGAGCCAGAAGTGAGTTGATTTTTCTGTAAGAAACACTGAATTGAGAACTGTTTAGTTTAGTAAAAATGGTGCTTACTTTTGCTTTCTCCTATGAATCGTATAGTTGACCGGTCTCTTCTCCATGTACATCAAATCTAACATGAATGTGCGGCAAGTTACATAAAGTACATCCTGCACTGAAGCTACTGAGCTTGGCTTGCTTATTAATGAAGTAAGTTTTAAATGTTAAATTTAAATCTATATTACAATAAAGTAATGCAAAAATGATTTTGGCTGAAACTGAAGTCCTGCAGTTAAACTTACTCAAATGTGGTTTACCCAGCTGGAGTAATAGAAACTCTAAGTCATAATAAACCTAATAAAAAAAAAAAAACAACTAATCAGGCTGCCTTGTAGTTCTTTAAGTTTCTGAATAATACAGTCAACCCAAACCAGGAAAACAGAAAAACGGGAAACCCAAACCAAGCTGTGATTAATGCTGGTTGACAGGCTTATTTGGCTCTGCAGAGTAGAATTTTTCTTTAGGAATGCAATTTGATGGTAGCTGTTCAGTCTAGCTACACTTCAGAGGCTTTCCTTTCGGTCTTTTGTGGGCTAATGAAGATACTAAGAATTCGGGTGCACTCTTATGTTTTTACAAGATGTTCTGCAGAGTTTAACATCACTAATACTTACAAAAAGTGTCTTAAAGAGGTTCTAAGTGGCACAGTTTAGGAAGGTAAGTGGTATTCACTTGAATAGTAGAGCTTTACAGTCTCTTGCAAAAGAATCTTTGGACTTAGGTGAAATTAGGTGCTTTATTTAGCATCTCTTCCTACTTTATGTGGGAGTTGTTAAACTTGCAAACTGTTCTCCACTGGCTGTATCAGCAGGTCTCTGAAATTCTTTATGAAGGAAAGCTTTATTTCACAGGAACTTTTAAGTTAAAAGTGTCTTTAATTAAATGTTAACATTTTTCTTTTTTTTTTACTTCTAGCCAGTGAAATGTTCCATTGGGGATTTGGGAAGTATTCTTAAATGACTTCTGAAAAGCCAGTGCCTCTGAAATGTTAGCCTGGGGCTAGTAGTATTTTGGCAGAAACAAGGAATGCACACCTGACTTGTTCCACTGAGTTCCCTGCACCAGGTGGGGCCAGTGTGGGTGTCTGGGATGGCCACAAGGCTCTGTGGCTCGCTCATTCCAGAGCCTCTGGCTGCTGAAGGTAATGAGGAAGGTGCTGGTGCTTGGCAGTAATTGTGCCCGTCTCTGGAGCTTTCCTTGTCTGCCTGTGTCACTCCTGTGGATAGTTTGAGGCTGGTGGACTTCTCTCTGAGAGCTTCTGATGGGCTCTGCAGTATCACTGGTGCTGTTTGCTTCCATTCTCTCATGGGGCCCCTCTCAGACCATCTCAAAAGGAAAACTAAATGTGTCTCAAGCTCACAAGTTTAGTAGTGAATAAACCAACCAAATTCGCTTCTGTGTAGTACAGAAGCATCACCTAGCTCTGTGTCTCTCAAGACTGGGAAGGTAAATGTTCTCAGTGGGTTATGAGATTCCAGTGTTTCCGATGTGACATTGAGCAGTGCTGCTGGTGTCACTGTTACGGCAGCTGTCAGGGTCTCTTGAACACTGGGACTGTATGTAGAGCTACATTTTCGTTGGCCAAGATGGGATGTGGCGGGGGAGTGCATGAGAATGTGACCTTGTTGGAATCCACGACAAGCCTGTTGAGCATACACTATGGTTTGTAGAAAATCTTGAATTTCAGTACAAGAGCTACTGATCAATTTGTATTGAAGCATTGAGGGCCACTCTTAAACATGCCTGGTAATATTTCACCATTTTTTTATCAACTTAGTTTTAGCTGTGAGGGTGAAGTTGGTTCTGGATGTCACAGAACAGCAAGGTGTGTGTGAAAGGAAATACTGGGGTCCTCAGTTGTGTCATTGTGATGTAACACAGTCTTGTTTCTTTGGAGAAGCATCGTGAGTTTCTGACAGCTCTGAAACTAAAGCCACAAGAATTCGTCTGGTATTTTGTGCATCTAGTGTCCTTTTCACAAAGCATCAATGCAGAGGATACAAAATGTTTGCATTTAAGCTAGATATACTAAGAATCCTGTTCTGAGTTTCTGCTGGGGTTTCGGTAGGGTCACTTCCAGCTGTGTGTACCTCTGTAGGATATGGTCAATGCTGGAAGGTCCAAAGGTTAGCGTTTGTTCCTTTATTAATACATATTTGTATACTGATAACTGTTTGAATTGAGCTTTCTCATTTTGAAGTGAATTCCTCGAGTTTTACATAAATGCAGCGTGCAAGACTGAGTAAGATGGGGAGAAAATACCCAGCTTGTTCTCCTGTTTAACTGAGGTCATTACTTGATCTCATACAGTTGTCTATAGCATCGCCTCTCTGCAAATCAATGATCTTTAGACCACTTTTAAGCCACAAAAATCTTTGCATCTTTGGAATGTTTTAGGCCAGTCTTGTAGCTATTTTTAAAAAAATATCTACTGTGCTTTTTTGAATATAATTAAAACTTTAAAGCTCTGAGGAGAGAGTTTTGCCACAAGTTGGCAAC